CCCGCCCCGCTTTGCCCCTCCAGTTCCTGGGCGGCGGCTGCAGCGCGGCTGCCCCCTCCCGCTCGCCCGCTCCTCCTCCCCCTCCTCCCGCGGGCGGCGGCTCCTCGCCGGCTGGCTCCGTGGCGGGGGGAGGCGGCTCCGGCGCCCGGGAGGCTGCGGCTGCCCCCGCCGCGTGCGGCTGCGCTTCAGCACCAGCCGCGGGCTGGACAGCTCCCGACAGCGCCGCGCCCCGCAGCAGCGCGGGCGGCGGCTTGTCCCCCCGGCCCCGGCCGCCTCTCTGCCCCGGCGGCGGCCGCGCCCAGCTGCCTTTGGAGGCGGCCGCGGCGGCTCGCGGGGGGGTGGCGGCGGGGCGGCTGTCCCTGGGGCCTGCCGGAGAGGACGCTCGCTGCTGCTGCTGCTTTCTGCTGCTGCTCCCCTCCGGATGCTGGCGAGGCTCGGAAGCAGCTGCAGCGCCCCCGGCAGGCGGCTGGTTCATCGCTGCTTGCTAGCGCCGGGGAGCCTCACTGGCGGCCGGCAACCGGGGCATCCTCCTCCGCCTCCTCCCTGGGAGCTGGGGAAAGAGCTGCATAGAGAAGGGAACGGGGGGCAGAGAGAGGCGCACACGCTCAGTGCTCGCACCGGACTGAGCGCGGCACACCCGCAGCTGGAAACCCAGGCCCGGAGCCCCACGGGGCAGCATGCGCCCAGCCCCCGCGCTAGGGAGGGAGCTCAGCCCGCGGGGTGTATGTAAATACTGCCCGCTCCCTCCAAGCTATTCGTTAGGGGCCGCGTTGCTGCTGGAGAGGGAAGGCGCCTGGAGGCCAGAAGCTGAGCGCTTTGTTCCAAGCCAACTCCACACAGCTATAAACTCGGGCGCTCGATTTCAATCCCTAGCAAGTTAAAAAATGGTGTTCTTTGCAGTCATCGCAGTCTGGGGTGGCCAGCCAAAGTCTGGTCTCCTTTACACCCTTGTAAATTCGGAGTAACTCTGTTGAAATCATTTGAGTAACTCTGGTGTAGCTGAGATCAGACCCTGGCTCCTTTATGTCTCTAGGGGAGATTTTTTTCTGCTGATGTCAGAACTCGTGGTTCCCCCTTCAATGAAGAATGGCAAGTGGTACTTGTCTCGTACACATCTTCCTTGCTTTGTCCACCGTTGTTCCGTGTGTATAGTTAGAGATGCTAATGTAGCTCTATGGTGCTAGAAAGCACTCACCAAGCTGTCAAAAAGGACATTGGCAGGAGGGGAGGAGAAGGGAGTATTTTATGCTCTTGGGGGTTGCACACGTGAAAATAAAACCAGATGTTCCTTTAGCTCTAACGGGGATCTCCCAGTAGTACGAAGGATTAGACCATCTAAACGGAGGAGTCGTTACTAGCCCCGCCCTTAAACAATGGTGTAGGTTATTGTTATTCATATTACTAAATTAACCTCTGAACCCAGATTTGTAATTAATTTGTTGTCCGGAGGCACTATATCACTAGTTCTTAAGATTCATATGTGAAAGTTTACTTTTCCCTCTTAGTGATTATTACATTTATTCATTATGAGAAGTCTATCTGGCCAATTTTACCCATCTTTATATTTAAAAGGCTAGGAAGCAGAGAACACATTTAGACTACTCCAGACTGTTGCTGTGGTTACCAAATTACGCTCAGTTGGCAACTTTTTTCCATATTAGAAAAGTGATCGTTTCCATGGTCACAATCGATTATAAAAAGGGTATTTATTGGGTGCAACCTTACAAAGATATTTCTTAGTATAATCTGAAAATGATCACTGTGATCAACAAAATGTATTTAATAGCCTTTATTCAACTTTTATTTATAGTGATAATTTATGCAAAAGTAAAAACCTTAGGGATCCCAGTAAATTTCTAATTATCTAAAATTAGCTGAAGCATTAAACAGTAAAGAGAGAAACCTGAATTTGGCAAGGTCATTCTATATTCAGTACCAATGAGATAACTCTGGAACACACTCTAGGCTATGACACTGCTTCTTGCCAGGGATGCACTAATTACTGTTACATGCATTGACATCTACAATAATGATTTTAGTTGAAGTATTGAAAATTAATGTTCAAAAGTACATAACTGGGCAGAAAGTTCCAATATAGTAATTGCCAGAAGTGGGGCTATAATCTATTACTTTATAAAAACAATTTATGAAATGTGTTTCTTTACATTTCAGTTGCCTATTGCAGATAGAATTTTAAGCTACTCTTTTTCAGAATTCTCTTATTGAAAAAGCCTCTTTTTTCTTGCAGTCAAAAACTGCATATATAGACGCTGAAAACGGGTGGAATCAACTTGATTTCAGTATCTTATTAATTACTATGACTTTTAGGTGTTGCTAAAAATTAAACCAACAAATCTGTAACCCTACACGCTACCTGGATTTCTTCTTGAAGTTTCACTGCAGCAAAGTCATCAGGCTCAGCAAAGATCTGCCAGGAATATAACTTGAATCCTTCGTGTCCCAAATTCCAGCACCGGCAGGCTTCTATACAAATTAAAGAATCTTTTTAATGCAACCGAAACCCATTTCCAAATAAGAATTCCCCATCTGCACAAACTCTGCAATAGAACCAGCACGCTAGAGGCAAAATCACGTGGCGTCAAAAGAGGTGACAGGACGCGGTTGCGTTTCTGCAGGTTTTCCTGCTGGAAACAGCTGCCAAGGCGGAAAAAAAAAAGGAAGAAAGAAAAAAGAAAACAATCAACCCCCAACAGCAAACCAGAGAGAGGTTCACAGTTTTCACCGGCCAGTGTGGAACTAAATCCCCCGAGACAGAAGCAGCCAAGAATTCAGAAGGGGCTTCCATTTAATTTGTTCACTCTCCCAGCACAGATCACGTCCTTCTTATTCTAGTAGGTTTAAATGTGCTGCACACATTGCAAGTGTTTATCAAAGCTTGCGGGTGCTTCTGGCTTTTGTCCCGATTTTAGGATGCAGAAGGAAGAGGGCGTTTTCGCAGGGTTACCCTAAATGATTTACAATGTGTTGAGTTTTAATCGTATTGAACATTATTTAAAAAAAAACAACGAAAAAACCCCAACAAACAAACAAACAAACAAAAACCCAACACCAACAATGGCTCTACTGTAAGGCAGTCTCATTACTCACCGCCACTTTGTCTGCTGCCGGGCTGGTAAAATGCATACACACACGAGGTACCAAGCTGTGCCAGAGTATCTCAGAGAAATGCAGCAATATTCGTGAGCTGACCTCACTGGGCCTCGGAGAGGGGGTGGGGGAGTGAGGAAGCAGCAAAGGGAAGAGAAAAGAAAAGAGATTAAACGACAAGAACCACGCCCAGGCCTTGAGGCACAGTTGCAGTTCTCCTTAGCTGTACATGGCAGTATCGGATTACAGGGCAAACAGGAGGATTAGGTTGCAGTAGATGTGGACAATTTTCGTTCAAAATTCATTCCAGGGAAACAATAGATTCTGATCAATTATTTATTCTTCTTTTTAAGGAAGACTAGCGTGAGGAGACAGTGATGCCAGACGCCTTCAGATGCAGCAGCAGGATGACAACAACTGGATTTTCCTTTGTTCATTTCCTTGATTTGCATTTCAAGTATAGCAAAATCATAATTACATTTCATTAGCAAACTCCTAATGCAATTGGTAAAGGTAGAGAGATACTGCCAAACTGTTCTCCTCTGCTAGAGATAATTCCATATGTAATTATTTAATGTACGCTTTGAATAAAAAAGCAAGTATTTCATTGACAAAGTCCTAACATATTTGGTAAAAATAGAAACAGTGCCATTCTAATTTACTAAAGATGATTCAAATATTTATTTATTCTTGTGTATATTATGTAGATTTGTCTACATATCCAAGCATTATGTGGCCCATATCACTTTGTATCTGAGTATCTCCCAAGTATATATAAATAAAAACAACAATAAAAATACCTCTTTTTCTTCCTTCTGAGTTTGATTACAATGGGGACATAGGAGCAACAAGAGGGAAATCAGTGGGGGAATCCGCTCAGCACTTTAGATGTCTATACAACAAATGCAGGGAGTATGGGGAATAAACAAGAAGAACTGGAAACATTAGTACATAAGCTAATTTATGATTTAATTAGCATCAGCGAACATAAGAACTGCCATACTGGGTCAGACCAAAGGTCCATCACGCCCAGTATCCTGTCCTCTGACAGTGGCCAATGGCAGGTACCCCACAGGGAATGAACAGACCGGTTATCATCAAGTGATCCATGCCCTGTCACTCAATCCCAGCTTCTGGCAAACAGAGGCTAGGGGATACCATTCCTGCCCATCCTGGCTAATAGCCATTGATGGACCTATCTTCCATGAATCTATCTAGCTCCCTTTTGAACACTGTTATAGTATTGGCCTTCACAACACCCTCTGGCAAGGAGTTCCAGAGGTTGACAGTGTGTTGCATGAAAAAATACTTTCTTGTGTTTGTTTTAAACCTGCTACCTATTAATTTCATTTGGTACCCCCTTGTTCTTGTATTATGAGAAGTAGTAAATAACACTTCCTTATTTACTTTCTCTATACCACTCATGATTTTATAGACCTCTATCATATCCCCCCTTTGTCGCCTCTTTTCCAAGCTGAAAAGTCCCAGTCTTATTAATCTCTCCTCATACAGAAGCCGTTCTATACCCCTAATCATTTTTGTTGCCCTTTTCTGAACCTTTTCCAATTCCAATATATCTTTTTTGAGATGGAGTGGCCACATCTGCACGCAGTATTCAAGGTGTGGGAGTACCATGCATTTATATAGAGGCAATATGATATTTTCTATCTGATTATCTATCCCTTTCTTCAGGGTCGGCTCCAGACACCAGCCTGGCAAGCAGGTGCTTGGGGCGGCCACTCTGGAGAGGGGCGGCACATCCAGATATTCAGTGGCAATTCGGCGGACGGTCCCTCACTCCCGCTGGGAACAAAGGACCTCCTGCCGAATTGCCGCCGCAGATCGCGATCGCGGCTTTTTTTTGGG